CTTGAACAAGATCTAGGAGAATTCTCTCAATTACCAGGCAGAGACCCTTGTTCCCTTCCCTTACTTTATCACAAACATACAGAGTCTCTCTCTGTTCTGAATCACCTAAAGCTGTGGATGGAGTGACAAAAGCACCCCTGTGGCCACCACCACTATGACTGCACTGGGTCAAACTAAAGCCAGAACAGAGCTGGGTCTTGCCCAAGACCCACTGTAGCTTCTCCCTGGCTACTTCTTATGTTTACTCAAGGCCCTGGGGCTCTACAATCAGCAGGTGGTAAAGCCAGTCAGGCCTGTGTCCTTCCCTTCAGAGCAGCAAGGTCCCCCAAGCCCCAGGTGGGTTCAGAAGTACCACCTAGGAATCAGGGACTAGAGTCAAAAACCTTAGAAGTCTACATGGTGTTCTGTTGTATGCAGCTAGGCTGGCACTCAAACTACACAGTGCATTTCTTCCGACTCTTCCCTCCCCTTTCCAAAGGAAGAGGAGCCTCACCATAGCTACTGCCACCCAAGGCCATGAAGAGTACTGCCAGACTACCACGGTGTTCTATTAAGGCCCAAAGTCTTTTAAGTGAGCTTGTGGTGAATGCTGCCTGACCTGGGACTCATCCTTCAGGGCAATGAGTACCATTCTGGCCCAGGACAGGTCCAGAAATGTCCTCCAACAGTCAAGTCCTGGAATTGAGGACCCCAAAAGCCTGCTTGGTGCTCTACACAACTGTGACCATAATGGTATCTAAGATGTAAGACAAAGTCTTCTTTACTTTTCCTTCTGCTTTTCTCAAGCAGAAGGAGTTTTGTCCCATAGCCACCATAGCTGGTTATGTCCTGAGTCTCACCTAAATGCAGGGGCCTTTGAAAACAGTATGCTGAGAATAGATAGGGCTCAAGGACAGTATCTCCAACTGAACTTTTAATGAACTCCCGTAGGCGCCAAGAAGGCGGGTAAATAAGAAAGAATATAGAAACAAAGTACTGAGTAGAAGGTTACATGTGGGAAAAGAAAGTTTGTTTTGCATTGCATTCTTTCTGCTGACGTGAGGTTTATGGAGTATAAATAAAGTGAGGCGGAGGCTCTGAGTGCGGCCGCCATGTTCTCTGTGTGTCTTTGTCTTTGTGTGTGTTCTTTCATTCTCCACCACCCCCGGTGCGGCCCCCAACACCTAAAGTCATCAAATCTCAGAAGTTCACCAAGGCCCTCAATGTAGTACCTGAATATTGCTGCTGGCTTTTTAGGGCCCAAGGGCTCTTCAGTTAGCAAGTGATGAATGGTAGCAGTACTGAGTCCTTTCCTTCAAGGCAGCCAGTTCTCTTCTGGCCCAGAGTGTGTCTAGAAAAGTTGTCTGGGAGCCAGGGCCTGGAATAGGGGCCTCACAATTCTGACCAGTGCCCTATCCTACTGTGGCTGGGCTGGGATCCTAGATGCAAGACAAAGTTCTCCCTACTCTTCCCTCTGCTCTCCTCAAACAGAAGACAAGTGTTCTCTTTGAAGCCACAAGCTGTGTAGCCTGGGCTTAGGAGAGGCGTGATGCCAGCGCTCCCTTAGCTGACCTGGCCGGTGTCTCAGTATGTCACGTGTCCCCCTAGTCCACTGCCTCTGGGCCTAATTCAGCACCAGGACTCACCTACAAGTTGCAGTCCTTATGGCCTAGACTGCCTTTCAAGTTTACTTGCAGACAGAGTGCTGTAGCCCATGGTGGTGAGGTTTGCAGGAACTCAAGTTTAGATCACTGGGTCCCTCCCTATGTGGGCAGGTCAGCTGAGTTTGGTCTGTGTTTTCTTTCTGCTCTAATAGAACAGCACTTTCAATAACTCACAGTTGGTGTGTTCTTCCTCCCCCAGTGCCCAGAGATGCCCACTGCTGCTGCCAGGGGTAAGGGAGGGGTGGTGTCTGCGATTCAGGATTCTTTTTTTCTTTTTTAATTTCTTCAGTGCTTCTTTCAATGATATGAATTTAAAACCAGGTACTTATGAGTAGTCACTTGATTTTTCATTCGTATGAAGGTGTTTTGTCTGTATAGATAGCTTGGTGTCCTTGCATTGAGGGACAATCAGTGGAGTTTTCTATTCTGCCATCTTGCTCCACCCTCCTGAAATTATTTTCTTAATTTAGTTTTGGATTATTCATTGCTATGAGTAGAAACAAAACTAATCTTTTTTTAACATAGTGAACAGCATGTTGACAAAACTAAGTTTTAAGTGCTAGTTATATACTCAATACTTTCATGAATGTATTAGCTGTAATAGTTTGTGTGTGTATATCTTTTAAGATTTCCTATCTATAAGATCACATGATCTGCAAATAGTTTTACTCCTTCCTTTATAATTTGGATCCCTTTTGTTTGTTTGTTTGTTTCTTGCATAATTGTTCTACCCAGAACTTTCAATACTATGCTGAATAGAAGGGACAAAAGCAGGCATCATGTATTTTTCCTATACTTAGGGGAAAGCTTTCATTCATTCTTCATGGAGTATGATGTAGCTATGTGTTTTCCCTAAATGCTGTTTATCATGTGTTGTAGGTGAGCGATGACTATCTGGGTTGGTGGTGTAGAGATAAAAGAATTTACCAAGATAATTGTAGGTAAAGAAAGGTAGATTCATTAAAGAAAGTATGAAAAATATGTTGTGAGGAGGCAATGTGCAGGCCAGCAGTAGAGGAGGTGACTACAAAGAAACAAAAGCTTGCTGGAGATTTTATAAGATGGAACTTGGAAACTTGCATTTTTCTGTCAGCCAGGATGTTTGATAAATTGAGGCATTTTATGGTAAGCAGGAAGTTTGTAGGTTATGTATGTTATTTGTTCAGGAGGACTATATGTCTTGGGTCATAAAGAAAAACAGACCTATAATTCATTTACTTCCTCTTTTGTTTATATAACTATGAAGAAAGACATATTTATAGTTTATTTGCTCTATCTTTTTGCTTTCCCTTGGTCCCACCAGCCTGACTCCTTTTCTCTAATTAGGTCTCTACATCATGTTAAGTAAGTTCCATTCTATTTCTAATTTGTTGAGTATTCTTGTCATTGTCAAATACTTTGCATAAATCAAGATGGTCATTCATTTTCCCCTTCATCTTGTTACTGTGGTGTATTACATTGAATAATGTTCATAAGTTGAGCCACCCTTGTATTCCTGTGATATATTCAACTTGATCATAGTGTATAGCCTTTTTAGTATGTTACTTGATTTGGTTTACTAGTATACATTGACTAATCTTCATATGTTTTCATTGGGAATGTTGGTTTGTGGTTTTCTTGTCTTGAGGTGTCTTTGTCTGGCTTTCATATCAGGGTAATGCTGGCCTCAAAAAATGAGTTAGAAAGTATTTTCTCCCCTTCTATTTTTTGAAGAGTTTGAAAGGGATTGGTGTTCATTCTTCAGCAAATGTTAGGCAGAATTCACCACTGAGACCAACTGTCTTGGGCTTTTCTTTGTTGGGAGGCTTCTGATTATTGATTCTATCTTTTTAGAAGAAGTAAAGTGTTTAGAAGGTGTAAACATATCTACTGTTATAGACATGTTCAGATTTTCTATTTCTTCTTGAGTCAGATTTCAGGGTTTGTGTGTTTCTTGCCTGTTTCATCCAGGTTTTCTAATTTGTTGGTTATACAATTGTCCCCAGTATTCTCTTTTAATCCATTTTCTTTTTGTGTGTCCAGGAGAATACCTTCATTTAACTTCTTATTTTAGTAACTTGAGTCTTCTCTCTTTTCTTACTGATTTGTTTGAATTCATCGTAGATTCTGGATATTAGTCCTTTGTCTGATGTGTAGATTGTGAAGATTTTCTTCCACTCTGTGGGTTGTCTGTTTACTCTGCTGCCTGTTCCTTTTGCCATGCAAAAGCTCTTTAGTTTAAGTCCCAACCATTTATCTTATTTAAAAAAGTCAACTGTGAAACAGCCTCAGGTAGGTCCTTTAGAAGGAATTGCAGAAGAAGCCATTGTTATCCTAGAGATGTGATTTCGGTCAAGTTACTTTACCCCACTGAGTTTCAGTTTTTTCAACTATAAAATTGGAATAACAATAGAACTACAAAATAAGAATGTAGTTCTGAAATTTAGATGAGACAACTTGCAAAAAGCAAATGGCGGAATGCCTGGCATGGGCATTACATAAGCTGGCTGATAGTGTAGGAAGGTAAGGCCTCAGTGCAAGTTTGTAAAGACATGAAAAATACAATGCGAGGAACAGGGTAGGTTTTTTAGTACAATTTAGAGTAGTTAGATTAAGCAGGAAACTTACCAAGTTACTGTAAAACTGACAATTAAATAATAATAGCTGTTAGCTAAGTTTAGAAAGCCAGTCTCTTCTAAGTAATTAATTACTCAGGTTTTCCTTTCAGAAACTGTTTCATACAATGCGTCACCATTATTTAACAAAAGGCAAACAATGTAAGAAATCTTCCTTCTTATACATCTTTTTCTAAATTATGGAAAGGCATATTGAAAGTGATTCACAGGCCGGATGTGGTGGCTCATGCCTGTAATCCCAGCACTTTGGGAGGCCAAGGTGGGTGGATCATGAGGTCAGGAGTTCGAGACCAGCCTGACCAACATTGTGAAACCCTGTCTGTACTAAAAATACAAAAATTAGCCATGTGTAGTGGCACGCGTCTGTAATCCCAGCTACTCAGGAGGCTGAGACAGGGGAATCACTTGAACCTGGAAGGCGGAGGTTGCAGTGAGCCAAGATTGTGCCAATGCACTCCAACCTGGGAGACAGACTGAGTCTCCATCTCAAAAAAATAAGTAAAATAAAATAAAGTGATTCACTGTGTAGTTTAAAGTTTAAAAGTTTAACCCTTAGAATATGCTTTAAAACAGAGAGAAAAGAAATAAAATTATGAAATGAAATGGTATAAATTATAAAGTACCTTTTGAAATCCTTAATGCCATAATTAAAGAGAAAACATTTTCTTTAAGTACAATCTTTTCAAAATATGTAATTAGCAAATTATTACTGCATTATCTATCTTGGGCTTGTAATTGAGACTTCTGACAATTACATCCCCAAAAGATTTATACAGTACCAATTCTATGATTACTGACTATGAAAATTAACTGTTTTTTCTATGCATCACATGTACACAGCTTCCAAGTGGAACACTGGTTTATAGTCAGCGAGATAAGTTCCAGTCCTGGATCATCCATTTACTGGCTGTGGACTCTGGCAAGTGACAATTTCTTTCATCTTGACTGCTTCAATTAGTAAAATGTAATCAAGGTTATTATGTAACTAAAATGAGATAATATAGAGCTTGATAAATAGTACTCAGCAAATATTAACTTGAAAATAAAATGATAACTTCTCTTTTATCCTTTCCTTGTTCAGATCAATCCAAAGGACACTAAGTGGCAAGAGAAATGAATATGGCAAGGATAGGGGGAATCCTGTGGTTACCCAAATCAGAATGCTAAAGCCCAAGCAAGGTGAGGATGCTGGACTAGTTAGGGGTAATGGAGCCCAAGTAGACCAAGAAGAACATCAGTGAGAGGAGAAGCCTGGTGTGGGATGTTGGAGCCCAAGCAGGTGGGGAAAGCATTGCACAGGGAGTGTGGGATGCAGCAGCAATGACAGACTGGTGACATACAGAAGGCTTGATCAAAAATATATCAAGGCTTCTCACTATTGGAGAAGGAAGTTTCAAATATGGAAGGAGAGAAAACATGAATGAACCCTGTGCTGTTAGATTGGAATTGGAGATATCAAAGTGAACCCATGGTTTTCAATAGGGATATAGAAATATAGAAATAAAAATGTGCTTATGTATGTATACAAGTATATACATATATTAACTAGCTCTGTCCATTGAAAACAGGAAGTAACAAACCCCCAGTAACAATGAGCACACCTGGCTCTGACATCTTTTCTGAAGACCATACTCTGAAACAGGATCCAAGGCTCCTTGGAGAAATGGCTGATCCCAAGTCTAGGACAGGGAAACTATAAGATGAGCCTGGGACATCTTTGCCAGGAAGGAAAGAAGTGCTAAAAGACTTATGAGAACATGTCAAAAAGACTCTTGAAGGAGTTCTAACTTGCAGGGGTCTGACCCGCAGACCCTGAGCCACTGACGGATGAATGAAGTACACTGACACACAGATAATCTGCTTTGCTTGTCCAGCTGGGTGTCCGAGCCGCTTACAGACTCCCTGGAGAGTACTGTAAACAGTTGTGACTGTGGCCCTGACCAGCTAGTGAGACTCGCATTTATTTGGTAAAGATTAATTGACAAAGGCTTGAGTCAACAGCACTAGAGGGTAATTGACATTGTGGACTTCCCAAGTAGAAAGACTTGGGGGAGTGAGACTCGCATTTATTTGGTAAAGATTAATTGACAAAGGCTTGAGTCAACAGCGCTAGAGGGTAATTGACATTGTGGACTTCCCAAGTAGAAAGACTTGGGGGAGTGAGACTCACATTTATTTGGTAAAGATTAATTGACAAAGGCTTGAGTCAACAGCACTAGAGGGTAATTGACATTGTGGACTTCCCAAGTAGAAAGCAATTAAGTACCTGTGGTACATCAAAGGTTAGTCTTAAGACCACATGAGTAAATAAGCTAGCTAGATAACTTCCCCATATTCCTTAGTTACTAATTTAACTTGTTTAACTAAAGGTAAAGGGAGCAGGCCACCTTCAGCCAGATCTATTACTGAAGTTATACAAACTCTCAGGCCTTACAAGAGAGTTTGTTGCTATTATTATAACTATCTTTAATATTTTTCCCACCAGACTAATTGAACCCCCACACTCACTGACCAAATCTGGAATAATCTGAGCATCAAACTAAGTAATGAAAGCAACTGGTTTTAACCTACTGAATAAGATAGGAACCCATGAGTCCACACTGAAATAAATAAATGAATGGACAAATTGAAAGTCTGATGAGGAACAGGATATTTGCATAGTCTCAAAGTGCCTCCTTACAAAGTATTTATTAATTACAAAGGGAAGAAAGAGTAACTTTACCATGGAGAAATCTAGCAGACACCAATCAGTGACCAAAGTTAATATCACCAGTAATGAGGTGAATCAAAATTGTCACCATTGCTATGATATTCCTATCAAAGATGCAATCCTAAATCTATTCATAAGAAAACATTAGGTGAACTCAAATTGAGAGTTATTCTACAAAATAATTGGCCTGTAATCTTCAAAAGTGTTAAGGTCATAAAAGCCAAGAAAGACTAGGGAACTGTTCCACACTGAAGAAAACCAAACAGATATGACAACAAAATGAAACACATGATGCTGAACTGGACCCCTTTGCTATGAAGGACATCATTGAGAAAATTGAGGAAACTTGACAGAATTTGAGGATTATATGGTAGTAGCCTATCACTGTTAATTTGCTGACTTTGATGGTAATATGGTTATGTAGAAGAATGTTTATAGGGAATACATAGAAGTAGTCATGTAAGTTGAGTGATCATGTTAGCAACTACACTCAAAAAATTTCAAAAAAGTTCTTTTACTGTACTTACAACATTTTACAACTTCGAGATTGTCTTTAAATACAAAGTAAATGGAAAGCATACAAATGAAAGAGAAAAAATACCAAATCCACTCTGAAAGAAGGAAAAGCCACATGAGATTGTTCACATAGGAAAAGGATGATACAATGAAATGAAAGAAAGAATAAAGTTTGTAAATCTCAATATTCTCCTAGAAGATAATCATAACAAACATTGTTTTAGAAATGTATGCCTCCTGAGATTCAAATAATCAGTTTCACTGTTAGTATGAATCATAACTTCATTTAATGCAGGAGTGCTTTACATTTCTTTCCACTATCAGTCAAAATTTCTCCTAAATAAAGGACATGTTGGGGTTATTGTAGAAAAATAGTCTAGCATATCTCTGGCTACCCTGCTTTAGTTCATGATGACTAAATAATTGAAAACTGTTCTGTATCACAGAGGGGAAAAAATGTCTTTTCTACCATGAAAATTAAGAGTCCATTGGTTAAAAGAAAGGCTCTAGACATTAGAGCAGGAGCATCCCGATGATTTGTTTTTAATGAATGAGTAAGGAGTTGTGAGCTCCTGGGCAATTGAACCTCATACATATGCCTGACATTTTCAAATTAAACAAGTGCTGATCATTATTAGAGTGGCATGGGCCTTTGAGAAAATTAAGAAGTTTATAAGAATTACATTACAAATATCTAACAGAGTAAGGAATTACCATTATCACTTGAAGCGAAGAGACGTTATCACCATCAAGCATTTTTTTAAAAAAGAATAAGAATAGAGAAGAATAAAGAAAAAAAGAAATCAGAGTCAAGTAGATTCAATAGAGTAAATGGAGAAACATCTCAGAATAATCAGAAAATTAAGACAAAACTTACCTGGTCTGAGGCAACATAAAATAACAAAGGCCTCATAAGTTTATTTTATACTAATCCAACCAATATGCTTGGGAAATGTATGTGTTCCTGTAAATACCTGGAAGACATGCAATGATTCCTGGCTGTAAACCAAGAGAAGAAAAATTCATCAAAGTTACAGTCTCCATCAATAAGCTTGAATTGTTTACTAATAATCAGAGGCACTAAAGAGTTAGGAAAGGTCTAGGATGTGTCTTAGAGGGGAAAAAAGTTGTACCGCTCTACATCTTCTCCTTAAAATGGAAAGAGTAGAACACTATGGGAGCTCCTGTAGATGGGAACAAAAATCAGAAAATGAGGCAATATTTTCATTTCTACAACCCTCTTGACACTGCCAGTCCCAGTTCACTGATCCAATTGTACAGAAACATAGTTGACGGAGATTCTTAATTAGAACATTTTTCTTGAAAAATTTTTGATAGAGAACATTTTGAAATTTATTTTTATTGCTTTCCCCCACTTGATCTTGACTGATTAGATCAAACATACATTAGCTCTGTCAGTGTCCAGGTTTTAGCCCGAACTGGAGAGAGAGAATGCAGGGAACTTTCTTCATTTAACTAAGTAAACACTGCCACAAGAAAAAGCGTTTGCTGAGGAAAGAGACGAACAAAATTGCTTTTACAAGGTAGACTTGTTAAGGGCTGCATGGCTGTGTGTTTCTTTGGTGCTTTTCCTGGCCTTTTCACCAAGCTTTGGGGATCTGGCTCTGAAGTTTGTGCTTCCCACCATCCATGGTCCACCTGCCCGCCCCTTCTGGAATGTTTTCAACTGGACACCTAAGAATTTGTGTAAGGAGAATTGTTTCTCCTGCTCTTTCTCCTGACAGAAATTACTGACCTTGCTGGTTTTCTATCAAAAGAAAAAAAAATTCTTTCACATGAATCTAGTAGTTAGGTAACATTTTTGTAAGATTACATAAACAAAATAATGGTTTTGCAGGTACTAAGAATTCTGAGAAGCAATGAGAAGATTTCTCATACACCTCAACATATTCCAAGAACAAGACGTTTCTCCATGATTTGATGGCCAAGAAATCATGTTTTCTTAAGTTCAAAGTAGAAGTTTTAAAATATATTTTGAGGCATTTTCACTTTTCACTTCTAATGTTAATCTATTTTAACCTTATGTATTAAGATTCACCAGAGAAATAGAACCAGTGGTATATCCTGTTGGTTCTTTAATAAATCTCCATATTTATTAAGCAAGAGAAAAAGAGAGAGACAGAGACAGAGATTAATTATGGGAATTAGCTCATGGGGTTATAGAGGCTGAGAAGCTCTGCAACCTGCCATCTGCAAGTCGGAGAATTTGGAAAGCCAGTGGGTAATTTAGCCCAAGTGTGAAGATCAGAGAACCGGAAATTCTGATGTCCAAGGGCAGGAGAAGATGGATGTGCCAGCTCAAGAAAAGAGAACAAATTTGCCTTTCCTTCACCATTTTGTTCTATTGGGGTCCTCATTGGGTTGGTTGATGGACTCTCCAACCACCACATTGGTGAGAGTGATCTACTTTACTCAGCCTACCAATTCAATTACTAATCTCTTCTGGAAACATCTTCACAGATACACCCAGAAATAATGTTTTACCAGCTATCTGGGCATCCTTCAGCCCAGTTAAGTCAACACATAAATTAATCAGCACATTCCACCTCTTCTGTTCAAATTTTCATTACCCAGTTTTAGGGATAAAATTGCTCTGGTACCTAGCTAAACTCTGAGTTAATAGAAATATTTCAGCCAGGTGCAGTGGTTGAGTCTGCCATTTTGTTTGCTATTGTGTTAATTCTTGTCTGTTTTCTTAGGTGTCCTAAGCTTCTATTTTATATGTAGCTTTGGATACCTCAGCTCTGTCTGATCATTAAAGCTGCCTTTGTCACATTCAGCCTTTCAGAATAAAATAGAGCCTCTCAGAGGGCAGAGCTACTTTCTACCCTCTCCCTAAGTTTAGAGATCCCTTTAGATTGGCAGGAATCCATAGCCATTGCCAAAAAGAAATTTTTTTTCAGACATAGCCTATTTTCTCCAAACAATTGCTTTCTTTGTGCTGCAGCACTCTAAGTGAGAGTCCCATTTTCAGAATTTAAAAAGCTCGACTAAAGTTAAAAGGATGCATTCTTCCCTTATTTCATACAGCTAAGCTTTGATAAGCATCAGTGAAAAACTCTGACTCTTAGTTTTCTAGGGCTCTTTTCTGGGTGACTTTTTCATCTTTTCCAGTATCTCATTTTCTTCCCAATGTGATGACTGAGTTATGTGTGTCTCCATACTTAAGCTACTGGTTTTTATTGAGGTTTTTCCATCACCATAACATCCTAACTTAATGTTTCTGAAGAGAATATTACTAAAACATTGCATTTTCTCCAAAAACTTTCTCTGAGAGGTTGTTTCTGAGGTAAGATATTTACTTAAAGTATGTACTTCATCACACACACACACACACAAAGCAATCTGAATAAAATATGAGAAGACAAAGTAGCTCCCTGAAATTAAAACATATTTAGGGATATAATTTATTTTTCTCCTCAGTCCGTACTCTACTTGGGTACGATGTCCTCCCTATTCCATCTCCTTAGCTCACATTCTGGTTTTTCACCTTCCTGGTGTCTGTTTTTCACTTTTTTTCCTCACTCCCCCGACTCCTTTCTAATGGCTATCATGTCATCTCCCCTTACCCAATAATGTTTATTCTTTAGAATAACTTTTTTTTTTTTTGGCAGAGTCGCCCTCTGTCGCCCAGGCTAGAGTGCAGTGGCGCCATCTTGGCTCACTGCAACCTCTGCCTCTTGGGTTCAAGTGATTCTGCTGCCTCTCAGCCTCCCGAGTAGCTGGGATTACAAGCACCCACCACCACACCCAGCTAATTATTCTTTAGAATTCTTAACCCATTCAAGCAATTATGAAAAAACTCTCTTATTCCCCCATCAGCTTATCCTGTGTATTAGTTTCCTGTGGCTGCCGTAGCAAATGATCACAAACTTGGTGGCTTAAAACAACAGAAATTTATACTCATGCAGTTGGTTGCCAGGAGTCCAAAATCAGAGTGTTAGCAGGGCCACACTCCTCCAGAGGCCAGGGGATGATGTGCTTCTTACCTCTTCCATCTTCTGGTGGCTACAAACTTGCCTTGATTTGTGGCCACGTCACTTCAGTCTCTGTCTCCATGGTCATATTGCCTCTTCTCTGTGTGTCAGTCCTTCATGTATGTTTTATAAGGACTCTTGTCACTGGATTAGAACCCACTCAGATAATCCAGGATCACCTCCCCATCTGGAGATCCTTAACTTAATGACATCTACAAAGACCCCCTTTTTCTTCAAAGTAACTTTCACAGGTTCTGGATTTAGGAAGTAGACATAATTTTGGGCGGGGCCACTATTCAACCCATTACTCCGAGACAATATGTTTATCCCTCACAAAGTTCTCATAATCTCCTCTATGCTCCTTCCCATCGTGTTTAGATGTGGATGCATATGTATTCTAAATATTATATCTAGTCGCAGCACCCTCAAATTCTTTTGTATGGGCATTGACCTTTTCTCCATCTTACATAAAGAGCTATGAAAAACTATAGCAGTTCATGTTGCATTTTTCAACTAGTTATCACCCTTAGCCTATAATATGAAAATTCTGGAGGTGTTGCTGAGAAGGTGCAATTTTGTATTTTGCTTTTTGTTGACTACCAATAGACAGTGCTTAGTTGCCATGTTTTATTTCATTGTTTGTACAATATTTACCAGACCATTCCTTTATGTCTGTATAAATACTATAATTGTTTCTCTTTTTTTCTTCTAGTAATTATCAAACAAGTTGATTATTTCTGGAGTCGGAATTGGGAAGGGGGAAGTTTGGAAGAAATGTTATTAATGATCTTTAGTTATTACAGGAATACTGTTCTGATTTACCAAACATCCTTTTCTTCCAAAATGTTACTTCTGCTACCTTCAGTAGGTATTAAATGTGGAAACATGAACTGACATGTATTGGGAGCTGATGGAAAATAGGTTCATGTATTGTTCTTACCTATAAGCACATATATATTCTTTACATTTTTAAATGTAAATCATCTCACACAACTAAATAATTTAAGCACTAATTTCAATGGATACAATTTTTAAACTCTGATATATGTTATCAGACCCCTTATTTTTCCAAGAGGCCAACAAGTTTGGATTCGGAATTTGTATTTTCATTCTCTTTTCAAAAAACACTATACATTTTCTAACTAAACTATCTCACCACTATTTTTTTTTTTTTTTTTAGTAGAGACAGTGTTTCATCATGTTGACCAGGCTGATCTCGGACTCCTGACCTCAAGTGATCCGCCCGTGCTGGCCTCCTAGAATGCTCATTATTCTTTTAGTATTATTACAGCAATACTATAAGCAAAGTTCTCATTCTATCGCCACCAATAGACCTCTCTGAGCTCTCCTTGAGGCCACCAATTCATTACCATCTCTATTTCTAGAAGACCATCTGCCTCCCATTAACAGAGTTTTTCCCCCATAATGCTGGATCACATGATGGACTTAGAAGTGGAATTGCTAGGATACTAATTGATAGGAATTAATAGATTTTTCTTCCATCTGGATCAATTAAGGTATACTCTAGCAAATGGAAATTAAACATGCTTTATTTATTTATTCTTTTTTTTTTTTTTTAGATGGAGTCTCACTGTCGCCCAGGCTGGAGTGCAGTGGCACGATCTCAGCTCACTGCAACCTCCGCCTCCAGGGAACAAGTGATTCTCCTGCCTCAGCCTCCTGAGTAACTGGGATTATAGGCGCACACCATCACACCCGGTTAATTTTTGTATTTTTAGTAGAGAGGGGGTTTCACCATGTTGCCAAGGCTGGTCTGGAACTCCTGACCTCTCGGCCTCCCAAAGCGCTGGGATTACAGGTGTGAGCCACCACGCCCAGCCTAAATATGCTTTAATATAGGGAATTATGTGCTTAAAATCATTAAAAGGACTGGGGGAGCACAGAGGGCAGGGGTTACTAGAATTCCTTCCAGATCAACACTGCAAAACCAGCCATCTTGGGGAGCTACTACTTCTGTAAGAAGTGGGAAGCTAGGGAACAAGAAAGCCACGGCCTTGGCTGTGGGCTGTAGGACTGTCCCATCTCAGCTGAGATCCAGGCATGAGAAAGCGGCTTGGCTCCAGAGTGTGCTGCAGCTTTGGGATTCACACCAGTGTTGTGATTGTCTCACACCCTGTCCTGGCTCTCCCAGCTGAACTGGATTCCAAACTAAAACATGGCATGCCTGCATCTGAACAGCAAAGCTTAAATCACGTTTGAATCTCTATCAAGTGTAGTTACAGAAATACAGGTTTTTACTTTCACTGTAGTTTTATTTGTTTTGTTTTACTTTCCAGGCTCTGCCATCCAGGAAGCCATGCCAGAAAAACAGTTGGAAGAGATGCTGAGCAAACCAATCAGAATCTTATGACATATAACTAACCCCTTGCTATGGTCTGAACGTTTGTGTCCCTGCAAAATTTGTATGTTGAAACCCAACCCCCATGGTGATGGTACCAAGGCGGTGAAGCCTTTGGGAGGTGATGAGGTCATGAGGACTCTGCTCTCATGAATGGGATTAGTTTCCATGTAAAAGAGGCCTGAGGGAGCTTGTTTGTCTCTTCCACCACTAGGACACATAGAAAGTACAATCTATAGGCCAGGTACGGTGGCTCATGCCTGTAATCCCAACACTTTGGGAGGCCGAGGCGGGCGGACCACCTGAGGTCGAGAGATCGAGACCAGCCTGACCAACATGGAGAAACCCCATCTCTACTAAAAATACAAAATTAGCCAGGCATGGTGGCACATGCCAGTAATCCCAGCTACTTCGGAGGCTGAGATAGGAGAATCGCTTGAACCCAGGAGGCAGAGGTTGTGGTGAGCCGAAATTGCACCATTGCACTGCAGCCTGGGCAACAAGAGCAAAACTCTGTCTCAAAAAAAAAAGTACCATCTATGAGGGACAGGCTCTCACCAGACACAAAATCAGCATGTGCCTTGAACCTCTGTGTCTCTAGAACTGTGAGCAGTAAATTTCTGTTGTTTCTGAATTACCAGTCTCAAGTATTTTGTTAGAGCCACCCAAATGCACTAAGACAGAAACCCCCTTCACCATTTTCCCCTGACGCCCTCCTGTAACTCTTACCTCTGTATTACAGTGCTACTCCTGGAAAGGTTTCTGTTCTCACTGTCTCAACTTCCTAACCTCCTACTCATTTCTTAACCTACAAAATACTATTAGGGCCAGGCGTGGTGCCTCATACCTGTAATCCCAGCACTTTGGGAGGTGGAGGTAGGTGGATCACTTGAGGTCAGGAGTTCAAGAACAGCCTGGCCAATATGGTGAAACCCCATCTCTACTGAAAAACAAACAAACATATATATGTGTGTGTGTGTGTGTGTGTGTGTGTGTATGTATTATTCCACCTCTGTTGAAACACCTCATATTATAGGACCTATCCAATCTCTCTTTTTTCCCCTTCTATTCTCCTTCCCCTCCTATTTAGTGTCTGCCAAGTTCTGCATTTAGCATCTCACTCTTCTAAGTCTGTATATTCTGATCCTATCTGCTTGTACAGCATTATCTACCATAGGGGTTAATCCCCCGTACCCTAATACCAGACATAACATCTTTCCCAAGAATAGACTCAGATCTCCAACTGCATCCTGAATGTGTCCACCTGAATATCACAAGCACCTCAAATGCAACACGTCCAATACTAAATTCATGGTCTTCTTTGTCATTCTTTGAATGTGATATTCAAAATCTGTTCTTCCCCTCTGGACTATCTATGTGTAACCTGCACAACTGCACCCATGTGCTGAAGCTAGAGCCCTGGATGTAAATTTGATTCTCCTCTTCCCTTTTCTGTTACTATATTCAACCTGTCTCGAAGGCCCATACCTTCAGTGTAAGGCTTTTACCTGAGTTCTGAGTTTAACAATTGCTCTTTAAAGAAAGACCTCAGACATGCACATTCTAGCACTTTATTGGAAATCGGTTGTGTACACCAATGAGATCACATCAAAGTAAAAGCAGCATTTTCACACAATAATATCCCGATATCTGTACTATCTTCTTACATAATTTAATAAATCCCAAGATGCTCCTGATTTTGGTATTGAAGAGCTTGAGTGGTCCAGAAACAGCTCTACATAGATATAAATCATCACATCTAAAATAACCATCATTGTTTCAGTAGGTCCCAAAAGCCTGGGAACACCTCTTAAAATATAATTGCTGTAGGCTGGCTGCAGGGCTGGCGCGAGGGAGTGAAGGGGGCACACGTGGAGCTAATTACAGCAGGAGCTGGGCAGAGGGACACACACACACACACAAGGGGATGGGGGCCAGAGATCCCGAAAGCTGGGCAGGGAACTCAGTCACTCTGCATTTTCCAACACTGCTTGAGTGTCAACACTAACAGGTGTGAGACTCCAGTGCAGAAAGAAGCCCATCACCCCAACTCCCTTGGCAGTGCCCAAAGATGGCACAGCCTTCCTTCAGATTACACAAGGGCAGAGATTCTGGAATACAGGAGGTTCTGGAAAGCTCTACCCATCACCTTCCAAACTGAGAAAACATGAAGGAACATGAAGGAATGGCACCTTAAAGAAAATAACTTTGAGCCATAGTGCTGCTGGCCCCTTGGAATGGGGACAGGGTGCTCTTGGCTTGGTTTGACCTGAGGGGCACTGGCAAAGTCTGCTCTGCCCCCAATATCTCCCTCACCACCTTTAACGCCATCATCAGCAATCAGGTTCTCTGGTTCTTCAAAGCTTCTCAGCACTCAGCATAACACCTTTATATCTGTGGCAGCTTTACTGCTCACAGACAGCTTTCACATCCACTAAGGCAGGTGGTTCTCACACCCCTATGAGGTAGGAAGGGCAGGGATCACCATCCCCATTTGAAAGATAAGGAACCTGGAACTCAGAGAGTTAGGTCCCTTGAACAAATTCACACAGCTGGCTCATGGCAGAATCAAAACCAGAACTCAGGTCCACGTCCCAAAGTCCCTCCTGCTGCTTTTCTGAAGACAGGAAGAGGCTGGGGACAGGATGCCTGTCATCATCCCTCACCCGGCCCTCTTGGGAGGCTCTCAAACAGTCCCACTGAGGATTGGATGAGTCCGCATGCGATAGATGATGACTGCAGTGGCTGGGCACAGCAACAACGAGGTCATGATGACAATGGTGGCCAGGATGATGAGGACAATAACCCAGATATCCAGGATGTGCTTGGGAAGCACGACTTCCATAGGGACTTGGCTGACTGCATCCATGTTGCTTCACTCTGCAACAGACAAGAAAGGAAGATCACTGTTGTGTACTCTCTCCCTGCCTCCCTGCTTAGAAGGAAATCCTCAGGAGTCAGAAGCCTGGGTCACTTACTGGATATATAAACATTAAAGTTTCCTGATTAGTAATTACAATGGCTTCATTTACTGAGGGCTTCCTATTGCCAGACCTGTGCTAGACACTTTATGTCTATTAACACATTCAGTCCTTACTTGAACCACTGATCCTATAAGGCAGGGACTATAATTGTTGTTTTCTGTTTCTTGGCTTTTACCTTCCGTTACACCCATTTTACAGATGAGGACTCTAAAGTCTTAAAAGACAAGATGTCATTAATTTGACCAAGAACGTGAACCCAGATGGGTGGGACTCCAAAGCCTTCCTGCTTAACTATTAAGTTACCATACTACCAGTCTGTTCTCCCATCTGTAAAATGAGAGATGCACTGTTTTTGGTCCTATACCCCTTCTCCCATTCTCCCCTTTCTGGGGAGAACCTACCTATTCTGTGTGATTTAGTTGGGACACTGACCTGAGCACAGGTATGGATATGTGACCCAGAGTTGACCGTTATAAATCTCCATAACCACAAATCAGAGTTAGGAAAGTGACCAAGGCTAGGTCAACCAAAGTCTTCCCCACAGAGCTTTTATGCACAAGCTCTTGGGAAAGATGATCCTTTCTCCTGGGATTGCTAAATTGAAAGGATGTGAGTCTGGAGAAAATTGGCCTGAGGCTCTCTCTCCCAAAAGTGGTGAGCCTGTCCTAAAGCTGGAAAGACAGATGGAGCCTCAGTGACCTCATATGAGCACCTAAATCCAGCCAAGATTGATGCCATCTGCAATTCTAGACATCCCAGATATACAAGCCAATAATTCCCTGTTTTTGTTAAGCGTTGTCCATTTGGTGTCTTTCATTTGCAGCTAAAAGAGTTCAGATGGATAAGGATGTAAATCAGCTGTTCCCAGTCGTTTTCAATTCACGGAATCCTTAGTGTCTTAGTCATTTTTTAATTGCACCCTAGGTCAAAATAAATACCGAGCAGTTCAATTTATTAAGTAGTTAGGCTCAAACAATTTATTTATTTATTCCTTTAAATTTTTATTTTTCCGTAAGTTATAGGGGTACAGGTGGTATTTGGTTACATAAGTTCTTTGGTGATGATTTGTGAGATGTTGGTGCACCCATCTCCCATGTATACACTGTACCATATTTGTAGTCTTTTATCTCTCACCCTCCTCTCACTCTTCCCGCCAAGTCACAAAGTCCATATTATCATTCTTATGCCTTTGTGTCCTCACAGCTTAGCTCACACATATCAGTGAGAACATATGATGTTTGGCTTTCCATTCCTGAGTTACATCACTTAGAATAATAGACTCTAACCTCATCCAGGTCACTGCAAATGCTGTTAATTCATTCCTTTTTATGGCTGCGTAGTATTCCATCCTACGTATATATCACAGTTTCTTTATCCACTTATTGATTGATGTGCATTTGGGTTTGTTCCATGATTTTGCAATTGTGAATTGTGCTGCTATAAACATGCATGTGCAAGTATCTTTTTCGAATAATGACTTCTTTTTCTCTGTGTAGATACCCAGTAGTGGGACTGCTGGATCAAAAAGTAGTCCTACTTTTAGTTCTTTAAGAAATCTCCACACTGTTTTCTACAGTGGCTGTACTAGTTTACACTCCCACCAGCAGTGTAAAAGTGTTCCCTGTTCACTACATCCACACCAACATCTACTGTTTTCTGATTTTTTTTATTATTATCATGGCCATTCTTGCAGGATTAAGGTGGTATCACACTGTGGTTTTGATTTGCATTTCCCTGATCATTAGTGATGTTGAGCATTTTTTCATATGTTTTTGAACATTTGTACATCTTTTGATAATTGTCTGTTCATGTCCTTAGCCCACTTTTTGATGGGATTGTTTGGTTTTTTCTTACTGATTTGTTTGAGTTCGTTGTAGATTCTGGATATTAGTCCTTTGTTAGAGGTATAGATTGTGAAGGTTTCTCCACTCTGTGTGTCTGTTTACTCTGTTGACTGTTCCTTTTGCTGTGTAAAAGCTCTTTAGTTTAATTAGGTTCCAGCTATTTATCTTTGTTTTTATTGTATTTGCTTGTGGGTTCTTGGTCATGAAATCCTTGCCTAAGCCAATGTCTAGAAGGGTTTTTCCAAAGTTATCTTCTAGAATTTTTATAGTTTCAGGTCACAGATTTAAGCCCTTAATCCATCTTGAGTTGATTTTTGTATGAGGTGAGAGATGAGGATCCAGTTTCATTCTCATGCATGTGGCTAGCCAATTATCCCAGCACCATTTGCTGAAAAGGGTGTCATTTCTCTATTGTATGTTTTTGTTTGCTTTGTTGAAGAGCAGTTTGCTGTAAGTATTTGGGTTTACTTCCCGGTTCTCTATTCTGTTCCATTAGTCTATGTGCCTATTTTTATACCAGTACCATGCTATTTTGGTGACTATGGCCTTATAGTGTAGTTTGAAATCAGGTAGTGTGATGCCTCCAGATTTGTTCTTTTTGCTTAGTCTTGCTTTGGCTATGCAGGCTCTTTTTTGGTTCCATATGAATTTTGGAATTGTTTTTTCTAATTCTGTGAAGAATGATGGTAGTATTCTGATGGGGATTGCTTTGAATTTGTAGATTGCTTTTGGCAGTATGGGTTATTTTCACAATATTTATTCTACCCATCCATGAGCATGGGATGTGTTTCCATTTGTTTGTATCATCTATGATTTCTTTTTAGCAGTGTTTTGTACAAGAAAAACTACAAAACACTGCTGAAAGACATCACAGATGACACAATCAAACAATTCAATACGTATTTATGGCCTAACAACTTAGTAGCTGTTTGAAAAAAAAAATACACACAAATTGAAAAAAAAAGTTTTTATTTCATTCTTAACTAGTTACTAATGGAATATATGCACCTGCTGGATACTGTGTAACTTTTCAAACTTTGGAATAATATTGGACAATGCTATCCTCACTTATTATTCCATATTAATTTTTGCCCAGTACTTGCCATACCACGCAACCACCAAAAAATCAACTTCAGGCTGGGTGCATTGGCTCACACCTATAACCCCAACACTTTGGGAATCCAAGGTGGGAGGATTGCTTGAGCCTAGGAGTTCAAGACCAGCCTAAGCAACATAGTGAGACACCATCTCTACATTTTTTTAAAAATTAGATTGGCATGGTGGCTTGTACCTGTGGTCCCAGCTACTTGGGAGGCTGAGGTGGAAGGATTGCTTGAGCCCAGTAGGTCTAGGCTACAGTGAGCCATGATCACACCACTGTACTCCAGCCTGGGTGACAGAGCAAGACACCATCTCAAAAAAAAATTTTTTTAATCAACTTCATAAATGATAACATTAACAAAAGGAATGCAGTAAGATTAGTGTTAAACTGTGGACTCTCTTAAGCTAGTCATTTGCAAAGGGTCTGAGAGATGTCAAATATCACTATTTTTGTCAAAAATCTTAAAAATCCTGCAGCACTTCCCTCCTTCTAGTGAGTTCACTGGGGCTCCCAGGACACTTCAGTGCACAGCTTGGGAACCATTGATGTAATACATTCCCTGCCCAGAGGGCGCAAGGCTGGAATTATCTCCTGCAGTTCCTTTCAAATGTAAGATCGATAATTCTGTGATTCTAGGTTCCATGCAAAATTCCTAATTGCAATCCTACTTCCTATTCTTATCTAACCACTAACTTTTCCTTTCTAATGCCTTTGACTCCATGTCCACTGTTGCTACCCTAAGTAAGGTATTGATCACCATACCCCAAGGAGAGTACCCAAGAAATACATACAAGGACTTTACTTTCTGCATTATTCGTTAAGGCAATAGACACAGCAAGCATCCACTAACAGTAAAATAAAGAAGGGTATATCTATATAATGGGATGCCGTGCAGCAATTTTCATGTGTTTATTCACTCACCCATTCACTCATTCATTTAACAAGTATATAGTGCTTACTCCACATCAATCATTGTTCCAAATGCATTACAAATATTAATTTACTTAATAAATACAGCTACTTTGAAAAACAGAATGGAGGTTCCTCAAATAACTGAAAATCGAGTCACTGTATGATCTCAGTAATCTCACTTCTGGGCATATAACCAAAGGATTTGAAATCAGTATGTCAAAGGGATTTCTGCGCTCCCATGTTTATTTCAGCTTTATTCACAATTGCCAAGTTATGGAATAAACCTAAGTGTCTATCAACCATGAATGGATAGAGATAATGTGGCATATACTCAATGGAATACTATTTAGCCTTAGAAAAGAAGGAAATTAGTGCCATTTGCAACAACATAGATGAACATGAGGACATTATGCTGCAGGATATAAGCCAGGCACAGAAAGACAAATACCTCAAGTTCTCACTTATATATGGAAGCTAAAAATATCACACCCATAGAAGCAGAAAGCAAAGCCTCTGGTGGTAGATTTAAGAGGAATCTGATCTGTAGTGAGCTCCAAAAGTTTTAAGTGGAAAAAATAAAAATAAAGTGTAGAACAGTGTATATAGGATGATTCCTTTGGTTCAGATTTTATAGAATTAAGTAGGCAAATAGGTGAGGATATATATAGGAAAATTACTTTCTGAGTGTACTCTCAAGAAAGTGTTAATAGTGGTTACCTTTTCGGGAGCTGGACTAGGAATAAGAGGTTTTGCTTTTCATTCTTCATTCATAAAACATGATTTTATGCCATTTGAATTTTCTCAACATGAGCATTTATTACTTCTAATTTTTTATGCCAACTGGGTTAAGGGGACAAAGAGGCTTTTTTTGTTTTTGTCTTAATAATTCTCTGTCTTAAAAAGTAAAAACACATATATACAATTTTAAAATCAAATAAAATTAAGAGATGAGACTAGATCAGTAGTCACCAAATGCCATATACCATGGTAAGTGACCTTAAGACAGCATAAAAGAACACTGATTTCTGGGTCTCAATC